ATTCTGTAACCCAACGGTAGATTACTATTGAAGTGTAAGGGTAAGTGACCGTGTTTTTTTTTAATACAAATATGACAAACAAAAGTGTTATTTGTTCGTATGTAACAGATTTTATTTTAAAACAAACAGAAAGTATCACCGTCAGGGGACATACTTCTGCAAAGACGGCGATAAATGGTGTTTTTAGCTCACGTTGTATAGTTTTGAAAAACCTACTTGTATTATCGAAAAATATCAGTTTTTTTAGATATATTTCAAATGCATCACATTTGTTGCCAAAACAAAAAATTAAAATTTCATGCTCTAGGCTTCTATCATGAGAATCTTTTCCTTCAAAACGCATTTCTATTTTTGTCTAGAGGACACGCTCATGAAACGATATCGAATTTTCACCGTCAAGTTGATATAAGTTTTATTTAAAACTCTTTTCGCATGCGTAACTGACATTAAAAATCGCTGGTCGCTTTATTTGTTGTTTCTGATAGAACCGTCTATTCTACATAGAAAATGCTAATAAAGATTTTTATTTAAAATCATCTCAGCTACATTTTTTATTTGAAATATTTTTTCTACGATGTGTAGATTCTTGGTAAATCGATTTTTCCGCCTACGAATTGGTGTTTTAGAGGGAAGCCGGGTGATAGGAGCGGAAAACTATTTTGAGTATTTTTTGGGGTCGCAAAATTAATATTATTAGCAAAATTTCCCATATTTGTATGATTTTTAGAGACTTACAGGCATTTTCCTCTCTGACGTTGTAGCGTTTTATGTTTAATGTTTATATAATAATATAAATTCGGTTTTAAATCTTTGTAGTACGCCCCTGGTTGTTTATCTCAAGTTATAGCAAGTTGTTTTTTATATTTCGGCAGAGAAGTTAAACGTATATTTTAAATTTTCATATTCGTACTAGAATATTTCAAGCTTTTTTGACGAGATAGACAAAAATATAGATGTTTTGTTTCTGTTACATTGTCAAGTAGAAAATTATTCTGCTTAAAATAATCAATATAATACGTGTATTTCTATCGATTTAAAAGTAAATATAGATGTTTTTGTCTGTGTTTACATTAAAATCTCCAGTTCTCTGTTACATTGTGAGGTAAAAAAAATACGTGTTATTTTTACCCAATTTAAAAGTATATATTTCAAGATCCTTTGTTGTTGTTTCGAGGTTGTTAAGAATGAGCGAGGGGTAATATTGTTTGTGTAGGTTTTGTAGACCACAAACTAGCTGCGAAGATGTGAAGGGAAATTTGAAATGCGTTTAGTAAGGAGCCTAAGGAAAGATATAGCAGTGAAGCAACAGATTTGAGACGATCAATATGTTTGGGTGATTTTGAATCGGAAGTTGATTCATTTTTTTGTAATGTTTTAAGACCGGTCAAAGTGATAATACTCTTTGCAATTAATAGCAGATTAAAATACAGTAATCATGATAAGATTTGTATAGAAATCTGATTTGATCGTCGTTCCTGAGTATGGAAATGGTTCCCTGTGTTCCAGTTTGAGAATTTGTCCTTGCAGCTCCAATCCTAGGGATTTAGCAAGTTTTGTTTCAAAGTTCAGTTCAAAGTTTGTGAATTAAGGTAACAATTCAATATATTATATTTTCCAAGTTATATAGATATTTTTAATAATTGCTTTCATTAAAATAAAAACATTTCTAATAATTAAAGTTTTATATTATGTTAGAGTCGTAAATAAAAAATGTAATATTTTATTCCCTCTTAAAATGTTATATTGACATACGACATTTTGCTTTAATCCATTGCTGTTGTAAAACAATTTTCATTTGATTATTATATAGAAATGATCTTTCATATAAAATTCTACAGTATTTTCATAATAAGGATACCCATAAGTTTTGATAATCTAATTTGGCCATATTATAACCTAAGAACCATTTTAAAATTTTTGTAGCAATCTCTTTTGTAAACAAATAACACGTCAGTTTTTGGTAATTTGTATTATACTATATAGTAAGCTCTTGTGTAATCTGTATTTTTGAAAACTTTTTGTTTGAGACAAAAATAAACCTTTGATTTGTTTGTCTTATCCACTTTGTGTTTTAATTTATAAAAGTCTCCTAAACCTTGTATGTATTTTTGATTTTAGGAAAGAAGAACTTTTTCTTTTCTTCAGCAAACTAGGATCCTTCAAAGCGGCGCCCTTATCGTAAATTGCTAGAAGCTTCTTTTTTTGTTATATTAATTGCCCAGGAGATTTATGTAAGTATCCCTTTGTTTTTATTTTGTAGATACCCCAATCCGACCAATTTTATTTCAACTTATCCACGACCCAGCTCTCCAACAACCCTCTGAGTGCCGTACGCACTAGTTTCGATTATTTTGTTTGCCCAATCTTCTACCCCATGTTCTTACCCTGAGGTAAGCAAAATAGTTCGTTACAACGTTTGGAGTATAATAATTGAAAAACCTTTAGAGAATGCAACAAAAATGGACAAAATAAATGTATGTCATTATATATGACAAAAATATATATAAACATTTTGTATACAAGAGGCATAATACTAAGACTATCACCGGCCAAAATTGTGTACTTAGTGTTAAGTGGAGGAGAAGGAAGTAGAATATTACGAAAAACTAATAAGATTTATTATTTTATTATGTTGTTAAATAATATTTCTTTTTTTTTACTGTTTTAAAATAAGTGATTTGATTGAACTATCTAAAATTTACAATTAATTAGAGTTTTGTGTAAAGGATCAGTATGTATTTTTTGAATTTAATTTACGTTTTTTTGCTTGCGGCGTAAAGTGATATCACTTGTGATATTTAAAAGCTTTCCGACCTGAGGGTTAAAATACACAAATATTTCTTATAATTCTTGTATGTGAAAAACATAAAATATAAGGGTTAGTAGTAAGTAAACATAAGTAAGGCAGTAAATGTGGGCCACTTTTCCTTACTTATTTTACATACGAGAAATATAAGTAATATTTTCTTTTATTTAAAGAGACAAAGTCGCATCCACCCAAAGTTTATTAGAGACATTCCTCTAACATTTATAGTAACAGTCGTAGCTCAGTGGCTATGTTACTGGCTTAACAGGCTGGAGAGCCCGGGTTTGAATCCAGGCACCAACAAAAATTTAAAATTTCTAATCTTACTGAGCTGCCAACGTTCTTCGGAGGGCAAGTAAAGCCGTCGGTCCCGGCTACGAAAGTAGTCGTTAAGTCATGCTTGGATCGCTTGCGCGACCTGAAAACCCTAACATTAGACCTTAGCCAGAAGGTTACATGAACTTTACTTTTTAACATTTGTAATAATATAAAATTTAACATTTGTAATAATCAATCGTTGTACTAATTAATTACAATTTGTGAACAGTTGAACAGTTGTAACAATTAATTAAGTTAAATTTTGTGTAACATATTTATACATTTAAAATAACTTAATAAATTGTCCGGAACTAAAGTTTTGTTGAGGAGTGCTTTCAGGTTATTTGGCAAATTGTAAAACTGTCTTTGATTCACATATTTAGGACAATCTATTAAGCAGTGCTTTATACTGTCTACTGTATTGCATGTTTCACATTTTAAAGGTTCTCTATTTGAGAAGAGATAAGCTTGAGTATACTTACAGTGTTCAAGTCTCTCCAGTGTCTTCTGGCTGTAGACTTCAATGAAAAAATGTCACTTTTGATGGTTCAGAATTTCGAACTAAAGTCATTCCACTCCTGTTTTCACGCACTTAACACCTTATTTTTGAAATAAACTTTTAGATCGCCTGCGACACTCTGACACTCTGTTTCTGATGCGGCACTAGTATCTGTCTCTTTATCCCCGTCTATGCCGATAGGAGATGGTATACACAGGAAGAGGATTCTGTTCACCAATTAGATGTTGGAGCATAACAATGGAATAGTAAGGATGCACATCAATTGAACTATTCAGAGCAGCAGGATCTAAGATAGCCATGATGATTGCCAACCTCGGCGATGGAAATATCTATCAATATTCCACTGAAGTAGAGACTTAAATTTTAATATTGGCTTAATTGAGATATGTCACATTCCGTGGCCCATGCCTCACTGCCAAGATAATTATGGATCTGTTTTCCTTATGGACGTGAATTTACGTTTTATGAATCTTTCCTTTAAATGGGGGTAAACTTGACTGAACATGGATGTAAGAAATAAAGCTAATAATATGTCTGCGGTATATTCTTGAATTGTGGTTATAGGATCTGTGGATACCGTTATATTCATTAGAAGCATGTTAATTCGATCAAAATTTAGAGAGAAAGGTAAAGGGTAATTTTCTATGAAGTTTTTAGCAGGGTCAATTAAGAGAAAAGATGAGCATTCAGAGTTTATTGAATAAATACATACATATGCGACTGTTAGAAATTCTAGAAGAGATTACATTTTTCGGTTGAATTACGTTTCCAAGTGGGAGAAGGTAGTCTTGAAGTTTGGTGTTTTCTAAGGCACTAAAGATAATTGCTTGTGACTTTAAAGAAAATTGCACTCTCGACGCTACCAAAGAGTATGACTGTAATACGTTTATTTGACTTTGATGGTCTTGTATTGTATAACTGTTGTGTGATTCCATGTTTGATTTAATTTTAATAAATGTTAAGTGAAAAGTAAGTCCGACCTTGTACACCTGCTAAAACAGATATATCGGTTTTTACTAAACGCAGATTTTTGCTTGTAAAACTGGATTTGTTTATTGACAACAATACCAAATAATTGCAATTTGCTAACTTTAATGCTAATTTAACTCGATATTATATCAAGAGTTTGTACACTTACAGTTTATTTCAATGTATCACTAAGATTCAAAATTTATAACTTATATTAAACTCTGTTAATATTAAAAATATTTGGACCCTACATTAATACAACATTATAGTTATCGATGCAGAACCGAACTCAAGAAATATTTTACTCAGCAGGAAATTTGTTTTAATGCATAAAAATAAGTAGAAAATAATTTATTATTGAAACGTATTGATATAAACTAAGAAGAACCGCATATTTCTGGATGTACGAGGAAGCATAAATTAGAAAATAAACTTTTTATAAAGTATGCATGCAAATGTTTATGTTATAGCTACGAATGAATATATTTGTTGTATTTATCTTATTCTACTAATTTTATGGTTAACATTATTAAAATGATAAATTTTCTATTTACAAGTTATTTTATAAATTAATTAATACATTTTATGACTCTTGTAATAAATCCACTAGTCTATCTCCTTCTCTGAAACCTGTTTCAATGGCTCCGTGAACGGTAGAGAAGTGGTCTGTGCTTGTGGCTTCCCCAGCAAAAAATAAAGTGGGTTTGTTATATGATTTGGCAATTATTGGTCTAGCTAAATCTTCAGCCGTGGCGTTGTGCTTTTCTTGATCAATACTTTTGTAGACATAAGAACCACAAAAATGAGGATTACTGCTCCATTTTGACCTAAAAGGTAAAGTGTTAAATATAATAAAAAGACACATCACAAATAAAGAAAACACATGAATTATTCATTTTAAATTATAAAATACAATGCCACAGATTGATCGAAAATCATATCGTATAAAAAATATCAATGAAAATGATTAGATGGTGGCAATCCATAACATTTTTATTATATTGACCGTGCTCAATGTTGTGAAATTACCTCGATAAAAATGAATAAATTTTTGGTAAGAACAACAACTCCAACAAAAATTAAAGCCCAAACAAATCGTAGAAATATTGATAACATTATAGACTACAAACTTAAATTGACTTCTTTGTAAGATTTATTTTTAAAATACCCTGAAACTATGCTGGATAAGTCAATATGCTCCTAAATGTAATTAAACTGTGGAGAGGGTCGATTGACTCTTTTGTTCTACTTTTTTTTTCAGATTGTTTTAACCTATAAATCTGTGAAGTGGTGGAAAAAGACATAGCAAGTGAGAGCAATAAGGTTGCTAAGTTATTTACAAAGGCTAGCATGTCTGTTTATTATGGAAGTCATAACTTCTACTGCTGCGTTTTACTGAATCTTCCACCACTTTATATCTATATAACACAGGGCCAAGCTAGAACGGTGATGCACAATTCAGCAACAAATAAACCAGATGCATAGTGCTGATCGAAAAGCTGATCGGGGAGATAAAAGCAGATATCTTAATAAGGCAACCCATCGATGCAACATCTTTTACAATAAGTTCAAAATTTTTATACCAGATAGAAAAAACTGAAAGGAAGGTGTACAGATACAATAGGAAGCTATCTGGTATACTGATGGATCAAAAATATGGGAGGGTGTAGTAGCCGGTATAGTATGTTTTTAGCAAAAATATATTTCCTGGTAAGTCTATCTTAGGACCATTTTAGAGGTGGAAATAACGGCAATCCATTGTAACGAAAATATTTTGCCTACCACATGAGGTAATAATATAAGGGGTAGAAAATTGGGGACAGAAACTAAGGGGGTTGATATAGGGCAAGAAAAATAATCAATACTTATGCGAACCGCACTCAGGGTTTGTTAGGAGAGCTGGGGTCGTGGATAAGTAAATGACAAAGGGGTTGGATTGGGGCAACTAAAAGAATATGAAACAAAAGGTCATGAATCTCTTGGGACAAACAAAAAAAAACAAAAAGAAACAGAAAACATCTCTAGTAATTTAAAAAGGATGCCACTTCGAGGTGCCTAATTATAACTATTACAACAGCTAGTTGTAACTATCAAAATAATTATTAAACATAAAAAACCTATCTTTTTCAAATGGAAACTCAAAAAAGGGTTAGTTAAAAAAGAATAAACAAAATGTAAAAAAAAACAAAATTTAATATTTATTGTGTCTTACCACAAACAGTTACATAAAATAGACAATATAAAACACTACATTAATAGTCACAAATTACAAAAATACAGAGAAAAACTTACATGTATCCTATCTGTTTATAATGGGGAATTGCTACAAAATCTTTCAAAATTGTTGTTACTGCAATAGGTTACTTTTTTTTTAACAACACAAATGAATATCAAAAATATTAAAACGAGCTGTCATAAATTAACTTTAATAAAAAAAAAAAAAATTGAAAAAAGAAATCGACAGATAAAGACAGCTAAAGCAAAATATTAATAAAAAAAATGTCTGCCTTTACTTTAAATTTAGACACAAAAGTTACCTTAAATTTCACTTTATTTTTTACTCTGAGTAACGCTTGGGGTCGGGAACTGGATCCATTTAAATTTATGTGGGTAGGACTGGATGGAAAATCTCCGAACATGAACAAAAAAACTACTTCAATGATCTGGGACGTTGGTCAGCCGGGAAGAAACATAGGTAAGGCATAAACAAATCTGCTGCACATTTTTACAAAACTAGAACAACGACACGTAACGTAACACGTACTGCACAATTAACTGTAAAACTACTAATCTTCCATAACATAAGACAAAAAACAAAGAAACATTTCAAATTAGACGAAAAATTTGGACGTAACGTTGAAGGCCACCGCTTTTCACCGCGGCTCCAACGAAAGTAATGAAATTTTTTTTTTTTAAATTCATCATACTCACGTAAGGCATGGGTGTATGTTACCTGAAGTAAAATATAATAAAATATCAAACATCAATTATTATTAACAACAATATGTACAATTTTTGGTAACCTTATTTACTTTAAAGGGTTTTTATCCTAATATTTTGGTAGCTCAGGCATGTAACCTGTAAGTCTAGCCATTTTCCTTTTTTAACCTTAGTCAAAGTTTTCAACCACGTTTGCTTTAATTTAATGGTTTATACTTATTTTAGGCTTTTTAACCTGATGATGGAATTATTATTTTGAAAACGTTCGTATTAATTTGATGTAGCCCTTTTAAGGTTTTTTTTAAATATACCCACTTACGAATATTTCACCTCTCTTTTGTGATACGTAGTATACAGCCAGCTACAGGAATTTATTTTCCTTGTGGATTCTATTTCTTTCTTTTTCAGCACTTAAGTGAGATTCTTAGTCCCTTAAGGTGAGCGATCTAATATTCCAAATAGTAATTCTCATCTGGGTTTTAAATATTTTTCGCTTGTCCTTGTTCTATTGTTTCTTGCCATGGTCGTCTTTGTAGTATTAATTCGATTACGAGGCTGTGCATTGTTTCTTTAAGCAGTATTTGTTTTTACGATTGGTAGGCTAGACTTGCCAATCACCCTCAAGAGATAAGGCACTTAAAAGTATATATTTAGAAACTTCTTTTGCCAAATTTTTACCACCCAAACTATGGTTAGAAAATCGCAAATCTAACCTCACCATTTAAAGTAAAAAAAAATTACACAAAAACTAATTATTTAGAAGTTTATCAAAAATGACCTAAAAAAAACCTATTTTTTTTTGAAAAATTTAAATATTTTCCTGAGTTCAAGTTTTATTAAAAACAAATCTGAAAAAACTAAGGTGTATGTTTAAAAATTTTTTTAAAATTTTTTGAGGCAAAGGTTCGCGCAGAATTTTTTTAATGGACTCTTTTTGCTGTAATCCTGGGGTTTCCTAGGCTTGAGATCTAAGAATTTTGCTAAAGGGGTTTTTAAATCTGTACCTTCAAGTGTTTAATTCCAAAGAAGTATCCCATGCAGATTTTACCATCTTATTCCACTAGAGTCCTTCCAACTTTTTTAAAATTTTTTCGAAACATTAAGAAAACACTGACAAAACCATTTTTTTTAACTTACCTTAAAATTTCGTCGGCGTCGCAGATATCATAAATTTTACCTAAAAACTTACGCAACACAAACATACAAATATCCATGACGTCTTTGTCACTCATATACTCTACTTCTGCCGCCATTTTTCCAACTACCCATCCTAATAACGTATTTACTTGACTATCAATAATATAAAATCCAAAAACGTCTTCTAACCAAGATTTGCCGTGTTCATCAATTGGTCCAGAAGCTGGCAATTCGTTTCGTAGATTTAAACTGTCCTTTTCAGTCCATAATAAATTAAAACCTTTCGTGCCATCTGGCCACCTAAAAAATCATTGGGTTTCTTATAATTTCGCGCCTAATATTTCCCAATAATGAATATTTATTCAGTAAAAGTAAATCATCACAGGAGTAAAATAAAAGTGAAATAAACAGTAAACTTAATTAATTTGTTAATTATGAATACCTGATTCAGGAGTTTATTTAGTGCTACTTAATTTATAACAAATTTAGGTGTTCAAAAAGATGAAATGTCATCAAAAATTAATTATTATTTAAATGGAAATAAGCCACAATTAAAGGTTAAAGTACGTTTATTGACGTGTCAATTTCCACTTCGAAAATCGTTCTCAAAATACAAAAATTAGTTATGTTTGTATTTTTAGAACGATTTTCGAAGTGGAAATTGAAACGTCAATAAACGTACTTTACCCTTCAACATACTTTTCCATTTTTTTATTTTTTTTTATTTAGAAATTACAGCCGCATCCACCATAATGGTTATTAGCGGCGGCTACAGAATTACAAAATTAGAGTTTATAAAATAGTCCTATAGATTTTAAGAACTTTACAATATTACTAGCTGAGAAATTAGTGCCTAATAAATTACTTAAACTCTTAGGTATGTTAAATGTAACACGAAAATTGGCAAATCTATGGCATTCAATTAATAAATGGTTAACGGTTAATTGTACATTACATGTTTCGCAAATAGGTGGATCACTTTTGGTAAATAAGTATGAGTGAGTAAGTCGTGTGTCCAATTCGTAATCTCATTATCATCAATTGTTCTCTTCTGTTCCTTGTTGAGGGTTCCCAAGCTGTAATGTCATTTTTAACTTGCTTCAGTGATGTTTGAGTAGATTGCCATTCGTTTTTCCACTTGCACAAAACTCGATTCTTTATAAAGGCTTTTATATCACTCGCGGTATTTCGATACTCGGCTTTTTCTATATTGGCACATTTAGCAATTTCACTCGCGCACTGGTCCGCACTTTCGTTGCCAGCAATGCCAATGTGGGATGAAATACATATAAATCTGATACTCCTAGAATTTTCTTGAGCTTGCATAAGTTCTAGTTTTATCAGTTTCTCAAGGGGACCTTTAGGATAGATCTGTTTAAGGGTTTGAAGGGCACTTAGTGAGTCACTTAAGATAACAAAGTTAGGAATGTTATTAGAATTTTTATGTATGATAGCTTTAAACACTGCATAGAGTTCGGCGGAGAAAATCGAAAAGAAGGTTGGAGACGAAATTGATATGTATCGTTTGGAGTAACGAATGCAGCATCTACTCGTTTATCACACTTAGATGCATCTGTAAATCTCTCTCTTCAATCCTGACCCCCCAGGGGGAGTGTAGTGGTCGACGTGATGTCGTGTATTGTCCGTCTCCAGAGATCTCTGTCTCTGGTCATTTCTTTTAATTCATGCATAGGTCTTTGGCATATTCCTGTAATTTGATCTATCCATCTTGTTGGGGATCTTCCTCGTGATCTTCGGCCTTCTACCTTTCCTTGTATTATGAGTCTTTCCATGTTTTCTGTGTTTGCTCTCATAACATGCCCAAAATATTTTAATTGTTGGAGATGGACTTTACTAGAGAGTCGTTGGCTAACTTTTAGCTCTCTTAAAATTGAATTATTTGTTCTGCGGTCGGTCCAAGGAATTCGTAACATTCGTCTCCAACAGAACATTTCAGTGGCGTCTATCTTTCTTCTCTCCGATTGTCTCAGAGTCCATGATTCACATCCGTAGGTCAGTATTGGGAATATTAAGCAGTTGATCAACCTCATCTTTATCGCTCTTGAAATTTGACAGTCCTTCCATATTTTGGTTATTTTTGCTGTGGCAACTTTTGCTAGATCAGATCTACGTTTAATCTTTTCGTGTAATGACCCTGTGTTTGTGATTAATGATCCCAGATATAAGTATGAGCTCACAAACTCGAACCGGTCAATTGTGGTTATGTGTGGATGATTGTTATGTAGTCTATCCACTATCATGATCTCTGTCTTTGATATGTTTAATTGTAGACCAAATATTTGACTTTCGTTTTCGATCAGTCGTATAAGTTCTATCAGCTCTGCTTGACTATTTGCAAGAAGGGCTGTGTCATCTGCGAAACGTAGGTTGTTTAGTTTATGACCATTTATTGAGATGCATTGTATGACCATATATTAAGAGCATCTGTAAATATTTTATAGCAATGTTCGTAATGCTGACGGAAAATTAGATCTAGATTATTCTTAATCTCTGCGTGGCAGTTAATATGTTTGTCGTATTGGGTTAAACCAGTGTTTATAATTATCCAAGGAAAGGGCCTTTTGATATTGATTGGAAAGGTTATTGGGAATTCGATATTCAGACATCTCAGGTAACACCGTACTCGCTCATAGTAAGACTTATGTTTGGTACTATTGGTAAAGAGGTTTGTTTACATTTGAGGCTATTGACGTTGCGTGTGATAGTGTTAAGGAAATTCGGCGGTGATATAATGAAGGCTCCCCACAGAGCAAGAGCTTCAATGTTACTATTGACAGGAAAACCATTTGCAACCAAAGATTTTTTGACAAGTGTCATAACACCACCTAAAGAGAAATTATTGTCATGTACTCTATCTTTTCTAAAAATGCTAAAATATCTAAAATTTTGGTTTTTTTGGGGGTTTAAATTTGTTTCTTGGAGACATATTATTTCGCTAGGGAATTCAGAAATAAGTTTATGTAAGGTTGGACGTCGATGGAAAAATCCATCTATATTCCATTGCAGTAGTTTAGTGAATTATATTATATAAGAAAAAATATGAATTTACGGGTTAACCTGAGATGACTCGCCCTCGGATTCAGAGGTGTCGTTACCCAAGTGTTAGAGGATTTTCTTTCTTAAGAAGGTGATATGACGTTTGGTTGATCTATCTTTTAATTGTGGATGAACTTCAGTTAGCATACGAACTAATCCCACAAGGTCAGAAGTAAACTCTTGAATTATGTTAGAAGGATCCTGCACGCCTCTAACATTGCTTAGAAGTAGATCTAATTGGTCCAAATTGAGGTAAATGTGGGTAGATGATTTTGGATAAAATCTTTGGCAGGCTCAAGATCATATGATTTTGTTGATTTTATGCATGTATGCTCCCTCATTGCTTTTAACTTTCTTGACTCTAGGTTTGGATGTAGGTACAGCAAATGATTTTTCTGTTGTTTCAGAAGTTGTTTCTGGAGACGTAAGAACATCATTGATACTACGTTTCGGCTGGAGATCGATATTAATTACTTTGCAGCTTTCCATGGTGTTAACTTCTTCTTGATCATTAGCAATGTTAGGATTGCTCAGATTGTTTGCTAATTTTTCTTGGACGGAAATTTGTTCGTTTGATATGGATGTTGCTGCAGGTTGAGGCATGATGTCAGGGGAGGAAGAAGTAGTAGATTGACTGTTATTAGAATCAATTAAGTTTGTTGTTGATTCTAGTTTATCAGGACAGTTGGTGGCGATATGTCCAGACTTTTTGCAGTTATAACAGGCCATAGTTTCTTGAGATAAGAATATTCGATATGTTGTATTATCGAAGTCTAAGGTGAATGAGTCGGGTAAGGAGATATTATGGGAACTGACGTATATTTGTCTTCTGAAACTTAAAATATAATTATATTCGGAAAGAGTGGAACTGATTTTTACAAAAGTCACAGGAGAGACCATATTAAGTCCAATACTTTGTAGATAATCAACTAACAGGCTGTGTGGTATTGTTGGACATACGTTTGAAAAAACAATACGTTTCGCTGGTGAGATTAATCTTCTAGCTTGTACAATATTGTTCTGGATTTCTATTTGTCCATTATTTTGCATGAATTCGTCCACGACTTGTTTGTTTGCAAGGTACATGCAAATCCGATTATTGGATAGTCGGGAGGAAAATATAATATTTTTGGGACGAATTAGGTTATCCAAAGGAATTAAGTAATCTTGCAGTCGCGTATTTTCTAAAGCGCTGAAGACAATTGCTTGATGTTTTGAGGGAAATTGTGTAGAAGCTGCTGATGAATAGGTTTTATTGGTATTTGTCTGTGATTGCAATACATGTGGTGTGTTAGAGAGACTCTGAATATTAGGTTTCATTTTTGATTTTAACACATGACATATGTTTAAAAATAATACGGACCTGACTAGTAATCAAACAGGTAATAAAACTGGAATAGTATTTCTTGAGTCGTATCTTATTGATAATTGTTAAATTACAAATCAACAAAAAACTGGTTGATCACGTTATATTAATGAAAACTAATATGATGTGTTCACTTACTGATATTTCTTGTAATTGTCACTTAACGATTTATAAATAAACTGTTATAATTACTGCATAAAATTTGCAAATTTGTTGAGACCAAAACAAACACGCCTTTTGGTATCTCATTCATGGCCGAACTCTCACTTTTCCATTTTGCAATCATTGAATTTAGTAGTTAATTATGAAAATATGGGTATGTTTTTGCTATAGTCTCTCTACACCCTTGAAACCTTTTGTAAAATTTGCAAGTTAATTTTGTATATTCAGAAACTCGTTTATAATAAAAATGTCTTTTAAGTTATACTATATTGTATAAAACTATCAATCTTATATTACCACATTACTTACCATTTAGTAGGGAATTTAATTAAAATTTTATTTACAACTCCCAATGAAATATGCTCTATACAGTTCACTTTATACCATGGGAGTTCCGGTACAAACCAACTTTTGTGAAATTTCTTTAAAACTCCCACGGATGTGGTGATTAATATATGATCCGCTGTATACAAACTTCCATCTGAACAATAAACTTTGGGTTTATTCTCATTCGAAGTATTTCCATCCCAGACTATTTTGTTAACCTCTTTGTTAAGTAAAATTTTATCCTCAACTGGAAGTGTTTTTGTGGGATCCGGAGTTTTCTCCTAAAATTTAATCATTATATTTATTTCTAAATTATAGTCACCTTGTTTTATGATTTATGATCCATCAAAGAATTGAAAAAAAATTATTTATTCAAGTTTTTCTTAAACATGAAGATGTTTTATTGATTTTTAATGATTAGAATAGTTCAAAATAATTACATTTATATTGAAAAAATGGTACAGATTCCTTATATTTAAATGACTTAGATAGAATAGAAAAATATACAGTCGAACTAAACTTTTGTCAAAAGTAAAAAGAACAGTGAAAAGTATTTTATATATAAGATACTTTTATATTTATATAAGTTATTGTATCAATATGGTTATATGTTTTTGAACTTTTTATTTTCCTTATTTTGTGCCATATATTCCTTATGGGCGTAGACGAGTCAACTGACGACACGTAATTGGTCCAGCTCTCTTTTTTTGCTTACTTTATTAAAAATCTAGATCTGTTAGTGTTATACTTCTTATATATGTTAAAAACATGTTTTGTTTGCTTTAAAGCGGATGAGATTTCAGTGTTCCACCAAGGAAGAGGAGCTTTTGTGATATTTTTGGTTTTTCTTATACAATCTCTGGCTGCGTCTAAAATTATACCGTTAAAAGATGATAGAGTAGTATCTATATTATCTGATATAACGAGATTTGGTATACGTATGCTTACTGATTTCGAGTATTTTTCCCAATCAGTTGACTTTAATTTCCATGTTTTATATGGTTTTGTACAGGTTTTTTCATCTTTGTTATGAGTAATTATTATTGGGAAATGATCACTGTCGTATAGGTAGTCCAATGTATTTCACTGTAAAAATAGAGCTAAAGTTGAATCACTGATAGATAAGTCTATGGAGGAAAATATGCCATTATGTGCTCTGAATCTAGTAGTTGTTCCTATGTTTAACAAAACTAGTTTTATGTTATTAATTGCTTCTAATAATATTCGTCCATTTTTATGTGTTTGAAGACTGTTGAAGAAAATGTAATAATTATTAAAATCCCAGGCAGTAAAACACGACAAATTAGATCTTTTGCGATAATTGGTCAAAACTACGTTAAACTGTATAAAAAGTATGCATCACTGCGGCCTGAAAATATCACAGAAAAGCGATTTTTTATCAAGTACCAAAATGGAAAGTGTTACCGAAGCGTCATAAGAATACATTCGATCAACGCAGTAGCCCAAAAAGTAGCTAGGTATTTAAATTTAAACGATGCCAGCGCATACAGGGGTCACTCTTTACGATGAACTTCAGCAACACTTTTAATTGACGGAGGCGGATATCTAGAATGCCTCAAACGGCATGGGGGCAAGAAATCAAGCACGGTTGCCGAAGGATATATAGAGGATTCAATAAGAAATAAGAACGATAATGCTCAAAAAATTTTAAACCCTCATGATTCGCGAACATCGGGAATGATTGCTGAAAGTTGTTCTCGACCGTTGCGTTAGTATCATCAACAATTACCAATGTGTATCAAGAAATAGGAAAAAAAACTGCTGCCGGCGGAGACATCAAACTTTGACAGGATCAAGTTACATAAGTAATGTCATCGTTATTTGACGTTTGAAGAAAAATTATATTTTTTCATACTGAAAAACATCCAGTTGTAATTTTTTTTAAATAAATGTTCACAAACATAAAAGTTACAGCCCAAAATAAAATTTTAAATTGTAGAATATACTGTTTTTTCTTTGTACAATTATTTAAGGACTACGTTTTATATAAAAAACTGTAATTAAATATAAAGAAATATAACTATTTGAAATTTTTATATACGAATTTGTATTAAAATTATTCTTTTTTTTGCCGAAGAACCGACCAAAAAATGGAGCAAAATATTATTTTTTTTTTGTCAAGTGTTTTCGTATTATTTTAATTTTTTGTTTATCCATGATACAAATACAAACAGATAAGATACCGCGCATGTGGGCGTGGCTTATGCATGACTTTTGTGACGTCAACTTGTGCTAAATTTTGCCATATTGTGTTTTGACGTTTATGTACATTTACGGTTCATAGCCAATATTTAATAAAATAATATTTTAAAAGTGTTACAAGGCTTTAAATTTTTACCGATATAAGGTGTGCAGTGTATGGTTGTGCCGTTGACAATATGTGCAAGAGTTTTGTACCCGGTACAGCATTTTATAGCTTTCCAAAAGACAAGGAAATGCAAGCTGTTTGGAAACATTTGTGTAAACGCCAGGATAATTTTAATATTAAATTTGCTCGTGTTTGCTCTAAGCACTTTGTTGAAAGTGATTGAAGTGATTAATCGGTCATTCAGGTTGGCAAAATATAAAACAGAAGTCAACTACTTTATAAGTTTATAAAAGACGTTTCACTTTATACTTCTAAAGCTTCATCAGTTCTAACTCAATATGTAGTATTAAAAATTTTATTATATAAGTACTTAAGTTTACTTATTATTTAGAACTAACTTAAAAAAAAACAGAAACAAAGGACACAAAAACTTTGCAAAAAATAATATCATTTGCAGAAACGAAGATTTTGGTTCTCCAATGAAGACAAACAAAACACTGGTGAGTGTTTTGTTTGTCTTCATTGGAGAACCATCTCTAAATGGAGCAAAATGTACGTTTAAAATTTTGTTAAATCTTTGTTTCTGCGAATGATATTATTTTTTGCAAAGTTTTTGTGTCCTTTGTTTCTGTTTTTTTTTAAGTTAGTTCTAAATAATGAGTAAACTTAAGTAAATATATAATAACATCTTTAATACTACATATTGAGTTAGAACTGATGAAGCTTTAGAAGTATAAAGCAAAATGTCTTCTATAAACTTATGAAGTAGTTGACTTCTGTTTTTTATTTTGCCAACCTGAACTACCGATTAACCTCTGAATTCACTAGTTGAATACTTTATTAATATATATATATATATATATATATATATATATATATATATAATTAGGAGATTAAATAATTATAACCATATTTTAGCATATCCTGAAGAAGCGAATAAATTTTGTGAAAGCTAAATAAAAGAAGAACAAATAGTTTTACTTATCCTGCCCTATTAATGACTGCAACCTCAAAAGAAAAATATTTATATATATATATATATATATATATATATATATATATATATATATGTAGGTAGGAGATTAAATAATTATAACCATATTTTAGCATATCCTGAAGAAGCTAATAAATTTTTGTGAAAGCTAAATAAAAGAACAAAGAGTTTTACTTATTCTGCCCTATTAATGACTGCAACCTCAAAAAAATAGTTTACCTAACGTGTCAGTCAATAATACCTAACTACTATATATAAAATATATATTGTATGAAAATCACATTCCATAGTTTGCAATTTGTGGCATTCGGCCATGGCTCCCTCCATCAAACTTCACTCTTATGGGAAAATTGTTATTTTTACAATATACTAATTTAAATACTTAAGCTTAAATTCACGTAGTAAATAAAACATCTAGTAAATTATATTAGAATTTCAACAGTTCGTTTCATCCGCAAGCATGAATACATTTTGAAAATTTAGCACAAGGTGACGTCATGCGCGTGAGTGTACGAGTTTAGTGCGTGGCAATATTATATCTGGTATCCTTATATCATGTTGTTTATCTAGAATATTATTAATATTTACCATGAGAACGTCCAAAATAGTCCTGTATCCTTTATTTCTCCAGTTTAATTGTTGATTCCCTTCGCTTCGTATAAAACCAGCTACGGATCCTTGAACTGACAAATCGTACCATGTTTTGGAAGACTCATTGCAGGTGCTCATTTTGTGACACCAATCTTCGAAATATTTAGCTAATTTTAAAATACTTATATCGTCTTTATAACTCTCATTAATTATATCATTAAACCTAGAAAATTGATAAAACTAATAGAAATATAAGATTTTTTAATATGAGTTAATTATTTATTAATGAGTCAAAGGGAAGACCATTAGGAGAAGACAGGGATGGCTACCTAAATACACAAGATTACTCAGTGATTGAAGAGCATTAAGCGACAGGCAGCTCTGTCTATTATAAATCGTTGCTTAGACATTGCCCCGGGTAATGTAGCAAAAATATAACCTGTTCTCAAAACCTGTTTTCTAACTCAAAAAGTCAGGGTACTGAAAGGTTTTTTATGTAGAATACTAATACAATTATAATCCATCCATTTACTGCATGAGATTTGTTGATAATTTTTATTTTTAATTATATTAGTGTAAAAAAATGTACTTTTTGGCTTTTTATTTTATCATTAAAAATATAAGACTTTGAAGATTTATTGGTGTAACGATCATTTAGAATTTAGAGCATGCCAAAAACTTTAAAACGACGATTGGCAATTTATTTTTTGTATAGATAAACGCAAAAAAAGAGCAAAATTTTGAAAAAAATAATTTAGTTATAACTATTGCAAAATTACTCTAAGGCCTTTTTTTTTTCTTCAAGTGCCATGTCAATTCTGATCTTGTTTGCGGCGCTTTTGAATAGTTTGACCGATGTGAGCCCGAACCACTTCCGCAGATTTTGGAGTCACGAGTGTCTTCTCCTGCCTGGCCCTCGCTTACTGTCTATTTTTTCCTGGACAATCAATTGCAGCAGATGGTACTTATCGTGTCTCAATATGTGGATTAGATATTCAAGCTTTCTTTGGTTATTTGTGTTTACTATTTCTTTCTCTCTTCCGATTCTTTGGAGTACCTCTATGTTGGTGACATGTTCGGTCCAGGATATGCGAAGAATGCGTCGGTACACCCACATTTCGAATGCTTCTAGTTTTCTCGTGAGCGTCTCCATCATCGTCTAGGCCTCCACACCATACAGCAAGATCGGAAAAATTTAGCATTAAACTAGACGAAGTTTTAGGGGAAGAGACAAATCCTTGGTTATGAGAAGCTTTTTCATATTGCTAAATGCTGCTCTAGCTCGTTCTATTCTCACCTTAATTTCTATGGCCTGTTCCTATTTTGCAGTTACGTTGGTGCCAAGGTACACATAAGATTCTACATGGTCAATTAGTATGTTACTTATCCGTAATTGTCGAGCAAGTTGTTGCTTTTTGCTTATCAGCATCCACTTTGTCTTCTTGAAGTTGAGGGTTAGGCCGTATTTATCACTAACTGAATAAGGCTTAATAACTCTAAGGCTTATAACGTAATGAACGTCACATCTTTATTCTTTTATATATTTTTTTGTCTGTAGTTTACATTTATAAAAGAAGAAAACATAGAATAGGGTTCATTTTATGGTTTGCAGAAATCTCTTGGGTTTTTGAAATATTTCTTAAAATATTTTATGGAATGATTTTTGGAATATATTATAAGATATATTATGAAACTAAATGATGGATAAAAGCACATATCCAATCAACTAGCACTGCAGCTGTCTTTAAGGCCATCCAACCCTCATCAGGAGCCATTAACAATTTACCCTGTCAACCACATAAAGTCATAAGCATCAGTTTCAAATTTGTTTATTTTAGAGCTTTAGGCACCGTTTGTTTCTGCAAACTAAATACTGTTTTGTTTTATTCTGAATAAATATGATTAGTTCCTGTTTTTCCTGTTGTTTATTTGTGGACGAAAAAATTGTGAACGAAATAGTGAAGTGTACAAATAAAGAACCCGAAAAAGTTATACGAAGCTATATGGCTTTAGTGGACTACTACTTACTACCTGAGTGCCAATATTCGTAATATAGATATACCTACTTTGGAGTAAGTTTTATGGACCTACTATATTTACAGCCACCATAAGGTTTAACCGATTTAAAAATTTGCTAAGATTTGTTCGATTTGACGATAAAAAGACAACGTCTGAACGAAGAAGGAACGACAAATTAGCAGCAATACGCGATGTGTAGAATCATGTCAACCAAATCTTTCAAATATTTTCGTAAAATGTTTCAAAACTTTCAAAAATACTATTTACCAAGAAAAAACATAACGGTAGATGAGCAACTTGTTCTGTATCCAGGTAGGTGTCCATTCAAGTAGTTTATGCCTTCAAAGCCAGATAAGTATGGCAAGAAAATATGGTGGGCCTGTGACTCGCAAAGATATTACTCTTTAGATAGAATAGAATTTAAAGCAACTCATTGAGCCTTATTATAATTCCAAGAGAAATGTGACTTGCGATAACTATTTCACCGATCTTACTCTTTAACATGAATTGCTGGAAAATTCAGTAACTTTTGTGGGCACAGTGAAAAAAAATAAAAGATTTTTCCTCGGAAATTTCTAGCAAACAAGAGCCGTTTAGTAAAATCTTTAATTTTCGGATTCACTACAAAGCATCTCTTGTTTCTTATGTTTCAAAATAAAAGAAGTATCCTAATCCTATCTACCATGCATCACAATGCTTACTGTGCAGATGACAAAAAACCAGATATGATATTCTATTATAATAGTACAAAATTAGGTGTCGATATACTAGACCAAATGGTTCATAAACATATGTGCAAAAAAGAACTGACGTTGGCCTTTTGCATTTTTTATGAATTTTTTAGACGTATCTGGGGTAGCCTCATTTATTACTTGGGCAAATTTACATCCAAAGCGAAGCGAAAACAGAAATGAAAAGGGAATATTGTTTCTTACAACGACAGCAGAACAACTAATGTTGCCTCAAATTTGGAAACAAATTCAAATTTGCAACAATGGAAAACAAAACAGTGTATTGAAAAAGGCTTACACGAAGTTAAACTACACAAGAAAAAGCAAAAACTAAAAAAACCTCCAGTTTTAACAAAGAAAAGGTTTCACATGTACCAAACAAAAAAGGACAGGAAACAAAAACAAATTTGTGCAATAAAGAAAAATAAATTAATAATCTATGTATCTAATAATCTAAGTCTCAACTAAAATAGTAACTTGATATGACAACATATTAATTTCTAAAAGTAAAATAATGCTAATTTTTTGACTAATGCGTTTTATTCATTTTGTAAAGATAGTTTTTATCGATACTTTATACATGAGATGCTAATTACCACAATCTTTTCTCAAAAGTTTTTCAACTCAATAATGAAAGGCAACAACACCGTAATCTTTTTCCAGTCTATGGAAAAAAAGTATCTAAAAAGCCTCGTATATTTACAAAAAATTTTATTTATTTATTAATTAAATTTATATTTCGCTCCAAATGTTTATTACCTGTAAATAAATATTTTTTCTACAAAAGTTTTTTTGCATTTTATTATTTTGTGCAAATCTTTCAGGTAGATCGCACCCACGAGGTAGACCTATAGGCATACTATAGTAACACCTGTTTTTTAATATAGACAATTTAAGTTTAACCATAGTCAAAAATTCAAAAGGAATATTAAAAATATATGGGTAAATATAAATAGTATATTCAAGAACAGTGGAGAAAAAATGTGCTGCCCCGATAAGGGTTAAATATCCAAATTTTCAGATTTTGACAGTTTTAGACGGATTTTTTTTATATATCCAAATAGTAGTAACAATAATTTTATTATGCGAGTATAAGAATGTGAATAAATAATAGTTATTAAACTGAACCTAATTTTAATTTGTTTGTTTCAGGTACGTTCAAACCTATTTGGTAAGTAAACAGTTGTTGTAATTGGATGGTGAGAAAGGGTCACTAGATATATCAGAAAACAACGTTAAAGAAGAAGATTTTATAATTTACACGGAATTATGGATCTCTGTTACAAATTAAAGAAAAACGTGTAAATTAAACAAAATTCGTGGATTATAAAATTAGATTATGTCATATGAATTAAAACTGGAAGGTACTACATGTTCAAACACAGGTACCCAATATTAAATGTAACTGAACTCATGGACGCCCAAATGATGTTTTTGTTTTAATTTTAAATTTTGCTAATATACATACATACATACATTAAACTCTCTTTATTTTGCATACATATATTAGACTCCACAAAAACACATTAAACAATTTTTGTTTATAGTACGGGTGTAAGAACCCGACCATTTGCTGTTTATGTCTTATTTTCGTCTTAATGCGCAGTTTGCTTTTTATACCTGCGAGTCCTTTTATTGCTGCTCTGGGCATTGCTGTTTTCTAAATGGTCTATCTTATAATATATAATCTATATATATATATATATATATATATATATATATATATATATATATATATATATATATATAGATATATATATATATATATATATATATATATATATATATATATATATATAACCTATATATATATATATATATATATATATATATATATATATATATATATATAACCTATATATATCTATATATCTTATACCTATGTATTTCGGGTCTGTAAAACAATATCATACCGAGTGATAAAAAGTAGTCATTTCAATCATCTGGCAATTATCTCGCTGTAATATCGGCTATTTGTTGTTTACTGTTCAGATATTCTCTATCTCTTGATATTGTCGATAACCGATAGCTTCTTGGGTTAGGTTTTTTAATTTGTAATAGAAGGGCAGTATTTATTTTATTTTTTATATAATCCTTTTTATGCTGCCACCTTCAGCAGTGGCTTCATATGTAGCCTGGCAATTCCCAGGTAGAGACTTAAAACGTATTTTGTTTACCATTTTTATGGATGTGAATGTTGTACCTACTGCTATGTATTAGCTTTTGTTTCACGGCAGGTGCCTGCTACATTCTAGTTATTAGTACACGCATGGGATAATGAACATAGGGTTCAATGAAATAATTCAAATGTAGTCCTAAAAGAAACGGATGGTAAAAAAAAATCAAAGAAGCGGCTCTAATTATGCTAAATGAGGCCAATTGTGTCGCAAATTCCTCGGCAGAATGTAGTAGTATCTGGTTACCAATATTGAAAGAGGAAGTTATTAATAAGAAAATACCAGTATTAGTAAGT